TGTTCTACGAATATGATAATTACCAAATAAATGTAGTATTTTTGTGGTGTTTTACTGCATTTGCTGAAAATTGTTATTGGAACAATATCTTAAGGCATTTGATAGTCACTATTTGTTGGATCTTTTATAAGTTTTGGTAATGTATTCTTGGTACCTAAATGTTAATTTTTTGTTGATTACATGATAATATGGCTGAACTTGTCATCTGTTTTGTTACCAGGCAATAGTTTTTATTGCTGATGAGGATGGAAATTACTTACAAGAAGCTTGGGAGCATATCTTGACTTGTGTCTCTCGGTTTGAACATCTACATCTTCTTGGAGAGGGGGCTCCACCTGATGCCACATTTTTTGCCTTTCCTCAGAATGATTCTGAAAAAGCAAAGCAAGCAAAGTCAACTATTCTTCCTGTTCTGAAAAAGAAGGGACCTGGGAGGATGCAGTATGCAGCTGCTTCATTGATGAGGGGTTCATATGATAGTGCTGGAATTGGCGGTAATGGTTCTGGAGCAGTCACATCAGAACAGGTGAACAATCTAGTTTCTAATTTAAATATGTTGGAACAAGTTGGAAGCTCTGAAATGAATCGCATATTCACTCGGAGTCAGAAGTTGAACAGTGAAGCCATAGTAGATTTTGTTAGGGCTCTATGCAAGGTTTCAATCGAGGAACTGAGGTCTCAATCTGATCCACGGGTTTTCAGCCTTACAAAGATTGTTGAGATTGCGTATGTATTACTCACCTACTACTTCAAACATGCTACCTCTTTGCCTTCCCTTTGAACTTTTTTTTCTCTCATGGTTCTTGGGGGTTCTATTGGTTGGGGTTGGGGATTATCACAAAAGAAGCATAGTTAATAGCACATGACAATATTTGTTTTGTTGTTTATAAATTGAACAATTTGATACCCTGCTTTTTTTCATTTTTGGTTGATTGCCCCTTCTAAATTCCCAGCGTTCATGCACACTTCTTTTTAGTTTGAGCAGATAGTTGAATTGAACTAATTTTTCTTTTCAACTCTGGTAAAATATCAAATGGTTTGCATGTGAAAGGGTGACCTGTTTCATATGGTAAGACGAAATAAAGTGCTTAATTTCTTTATTGATGAGAAGGACATTAAAAGTGTGCCCAAAAATCAAGGTGGGAAAGTTTAATTCATTTAAAAAGCAAATGTTTTTTTGGGCAGAGCATCAAGCATAAGATTTATGTTGTTAGATTGATTGATTTTTATACGCTGTTGTCTATTGTCTGACATAATTATTATGTAACAGGCACTATAATATGAACCGCATCAGGCTTGTGTGGTCAAGCATCTGGCATGTTCTCTCTGATTTCTTTGTAACTATTGGTTGTTCTGCAAACCTTTCAATTGCGATTTTTGCAATGGATTCCTTGCGTCAGTTGTCAATGAAATTTCTGGAGCGGGAAGAGCTAGCTAATTATAATTTTCAAAATGAATTTATGAAGCCTTTTGTCATTGTTATGCGAAAGAGTAGTGCTGTTGAAATTAGAGAACTAATTATCAGATGTGTCTCTCAAATGGTTCTATCACGTGTCAATAATGTCAAATCAGGATGGAAGAGCATGTTCATGGTAGAGCTGATAAACTCTTATTATCTATAGAGAGCTTCAATTTACTCAAATTTTTGTTAAATTATTAATTTTTTTCTCCTCTACTTATTGCCCATAGACCTGATTTCAGGTATTCACAACAGCAGCTTATGATGACCACAAAAACATTGTACTCTTGGCTTTTGAAATTATTGAGAAGATTATTCGAGATTACTTTCCATACATCACTGAGACTGAAACCACAACCTTCACAGACTGTGTGAATTGTCTCATTGCATTTACCAATAGTAGATTCAATAAAGAGATTAGCTTAAATGCCATTGCTTTTCTTCGGTTCTGTGCGACAAAACTAGCAGCAGGAGACCTTGTTTCATCATCAAGGAATAAGGACAATGAAGTTATTGGAAAAATTTCCTCATCTTCACCTCAAATAGGAAAGGAGGGGAAACATGATAATGGAGAGGTGACTGACAAGGATGATCATCTCTATTTCTGGTTTCCTTTATTGGCAGGTAAAGACATTATATAAAGTTTATGTAGACATGAATATTAGGGAAAAGTAACGAATTTATGTTTCTTAAATTTGTTGAATGATTGGTGCTTCTTGCTTCATGTCTTAAGAGGCTTAGCAGGTTGCAGATGTACTTATTTGTTTATTTTCTTCAGGTTTATCTGAGCTTAGCTTTGACCCAAGACCTGAGATTAGGAAGAGTGCCTTAGAGGTCCTGTTTGAAACCTTACGTAACCATGGCCATCTCTTTTCACTATCTTTATGGGAAAAAATATTTGAATCTATCCTATTTCCAATATTCGATTATGTTCGACATGCTATTGATCCTTCTGGGGGTAGTTCACCAGTCAATGAAGTAGAGGCTGATGGTGAGCTTGAACAAGATGCTTGGCTTTACGAGACATGCACGTTGGCCCTCCAATTGGTTGTAGATCTTTTTGTTAACTTTTACAACACTGTTAATCCACTTTTAAGAAAGGTGTTGATGCTGCTGGTTAGCTTTATAAAGCGTCCTCATCAAAGCCTTGCTGGCATTGGTATTGCTGCTTTTGTTCGTTTGATGAGTAATGCTGGGGAGCTATTTTCTGATGAAAAGTGGTTAGAAGTGGTTTTCTCACTAAAAGAAGCAGCAAATGCAACACTTCCCAACTTTTTGTTTCTTGAAAATGAGGACTTCACTAGAAATCATGAACATGCTTCAACTGCTGAAGATGATAGAGATCTTGCCGAGTCTGGCTCCCCAGATAATTTAGAAAACCTGAGGCTTCATCGTCTTTATGCCCATTTAACTGATGCAAAATGCCGAGCTGCTGTTCAGCTTTTATTGATTCAGGTAATTTCATATTTTGTTCCTCCAAAACATGTTAGTACTGTAGTTGTGGCATTTAGTTTATTCAGAAAGTCCGAGAGTGCTTGATTAAGATCCTTTATTATTTGTGCTACATTATATTCCTTATTATTTTAGCACTACTCAAATTATGGATAATATAAGGAATAGTGTGGAATGCGCACCTTATGGGAGCAAACGTTTATTTCCTATTCAGTGCCTCATTTGAATGTGTATTGTATTACTGTTGCATTGGGGTTCACTTTTATGCGTCCCAGTCAAAATAGATGCATGTGATGTTGAAAAATGTTGTTAACTCTTCTTGAAATTTGCAGGCGGTGACGGAGATCTATAACATATATCGTTCTCACCTTTCAGCAAAAGCCATGCTAGTCATGTTTGATGCTTTGCATGATGTAGCATTACATGCGCACCGGATTAACGGCAATAATATACTACGTTCAAAGCTTCAAGAGTTTGGTTCTATGACTCAAATGCAAGACCCTCCACTCTTACGCCTTGAGAATGAATCATACCAGACCTGCCTTACATTTTTACAAAACCTCGTCGTTGACAAGCCTCCTAGTTACGAGGCAGATGAGGTTGAATCTCATCTCATTCGGCTTTGTCAGGAGGTTCTGGAGTGTTATATTGAAGTTGCAGGTTTTGGACAAAAATCTGAATCTTCTCATGGTAGACAGTCCCATTGGTTAATTCCCTTAGGCTCTGGGAAGAGGAGAGAATTGGCTGCACGTTCACCTCTCATTGTGGCTACACTGCAGGCAATTTGTACTTTGGGAGATATTTCTTTTGAGAAGAACTTGTCTCATTTCTTCCCTCTTATCTCTAGCTTGGTACGTTGTGAACATGGTTCCAAGGATGTTCAGGTTGCTCTCAGTGATATGCTTAGTTTATCAGTTGGTCCTGTTTTGCTTCACTCATGTTGATCATTTGGGTAAAAAGATTAACCCTGCATTTTGAGATGTAGGCTATTTTTTTTGTTTAAATCTTTCTGTTCATAATTTTCTCTGCTCTCCCTTGCCTTGGATTACTTGTCAATAATATACTATGACAATGTATGAAAAGTTGGTAGTGATTTTGTCTTAGCTACAACTTCCCAACTTTTGTATTTTAGAACCTAACTTTTCCGGTCAGAATATGTATTACCATGAGGCTCAGTGTTGTATTTTTACGTTTCTTATTATTTTTATAATGAAATAGTTTTGTAGCATTATCTCCTTTAAAGATCAAGTCTATCAGAATTTTCTTGTGATTAATTTTCTGACTGTAAAGCGTTAGTCCTAATTAATAATAAAGTTGTCTTTTATGTGAATTTGTTTTAATTAGAAAAAACGATTTTTTTGAAGACCATTAAGATAGATATTATGCTTCGATTGTATGAAAATAGATCTGTTTATTTATTTAAATTATAACACATTTGTGCAATTAATGCTTATTTGGTGGTCCAAGTTTTCGACTGGAATTAACTTTTCAATTTTCGGGGTTACACCTACAACTTCTATGCAAAGTTGATAAAACCGGGTGGGGGAATCAACTGACAATGATATCTCTTTACATCGGGGTACCAATCGAAAAAAAAATATTGGAGAATAAAAATATGTTATAAAAATCAGTATTTCTTTTATAAAATAGTATAGATATTGTAATTTAATTTTGAAGCAAATGATTATTTTAAAAAAAATTTAATTTGGATTTTAAAATGACTACTTATACCCACTCCCAGAAATATACAAAGAAAAAGAAAATATATTACAATCCAATTTAAATTAAAACATGAGGTAGCCAATGGTGTCTAATACTGTATAGTAATAGTGAAGTATCTATAGGAGTACCTAGTATTCCACGATACCAATACGTGAGGTAAATGCAAGTACAAACGTTTCATGTTATCCAATCATCATATCATAAGGTTAGATATTATATAAAAAAAAGTCCTTCACAAGGATCGATCATGAAACACAAATTCCTGAGGAAAGATGATTGTCTTGTTCTTCACAAAAATCCAAATACATAGTCACCGAGGAGAATTGCTTTGTCAATTTCATTGATGCAGTCCTGCGGAGACCACAACATTTAACTGTAGGCCTGTGAAAGCGAATGTTGGTAGCACATAGTATGAGTGATTTTTTTTTATGACTTTTCTACACTAGCCATCAAATAAGACCTTAATCAAAACCAAAACGAGTCATTCCCTCTAAATCCATCCTTATCTGCTTGGTATCTGATTTAATGATTTAGTCAAACATAATTTCAAAACAAGCAAAGAAGAGAGATAAGAGAATATGAAAACCCCAGGTTTTGCCCCAGAAAGGGTTCAGCTTTTTGCAAAGTGTTGAGACCTCGGAATAATTCTTGGAGAATTATTACAATTCACAAGGTGACAAAAGGGCATGTCATAAATAAAGCCACACACAATATTTCCTTTAATTCTCTTATTCTCAATCCCCCTTAAAATTATGTTGCAACCTTTCACTACTTGCTTCACCTTTCTTCATAGGAGGATCAAATTCTTCCTCAACCAACCAAGAATCAAGGACATGATGAGTGTATGCTACAAAAGAACCAACAAAAAGTTGTCTTCAAATTCTGACTTGTCAACCTCTTCTTTCCTTCACATGGAGCTATCTACACAGTTCCAACAAGTTTTCAAGATTATTGACACCAATGGAGATGGGAAGATCTCAGCCACTGAGCTCAGTGAAGTGCTCTCATGCCTTGGATACAACAAGTGCATGGCTGCTAAGGAAGCTGAATGCATGGTGAGAGTGTTGGACTTCAATGGAGATGGGTTTGTGGACTTGGATGAGTTCATGATTGTCATGAATGGCATGGAACAAGAAAAGTTTGGAAGTGGCATGGACCATGATGATGATGATGATGATGGTTGTCTCATGGATGCTTTTCTTGTCTTTGACACTGATAAGAATGGCCTTATTTCAGCCAAGGAACTGCAGAGGGTTCTGCTCAATCTAGGGTGTGATGATTGTAGTCTCAAAGAGTGTAAACGTATGATCAAAGGGGTTGATAGGAATGGAGATGGGTTTGTGGATTTTGAAGAATTTCGATGCATGATGCAATATGGACTTGCCAAATAGGGCTTCAAATGGGTTTGTTTGTGTTTATGCTGTAATTTCTCTAATTTCCTTTTATTACGGTACACAAAGATAAGATTTAATGTAATTATACTTGCTATGTTTACCTTTTTGACCTTCCTTATTTCATATAGTAATATAGAAGAAAATATGTACATTAAGGGAGAGATGCATAGTATTGTGTTATGGTGTACAGTTTGTTGAGGGTTTAGAGTTTGGTAATTTAGTATTTGCTTCTCTTTTGTTTACTTCTTTTTTATTAAGGGATGTTAGTAATTTAGTATTATTTGCTTCTTTTTGTTTACTTCTCTCACGAGTACTAGTGTCAAATAGCAAGAGGTGAGAGTTTAAGCAAGATATTTTCCTTCTGATTAAGTTGGTTGAGTAGTTTAGAAGAGAATTGCTGTGTATTCACTGTTTAGGAGATGATTTTCAAACATTTTGTGGTAAGATATAAAATGCCTTTTGAGCAAGGAAAATGATAGGGCATCAAGTACATAGAGGATTCTGTGTCTCTAATTTATTATTTTTTTTTTTTGTGAATATGAGAATATCTTCCGATTGATTATCAGAAACTAATATCTTTTGAAATATAAAAATCACTGAAGTGATTTTTATTTTTAAAAAAAAAAGTTTTCTCTATATGTATAACCAGGAAATAGAAACCCTGTTATGATAAGAACTTAATTATCTATCAACTACCACGGTTTAATGTGCACTCTTTTGGGATTTTTTCTGATCATGTGGATTCCACTAAATGAATTTGTCTCATATCATCATGCTGTCTCTCCACTCTGATGATTTGATCGAACAAAAAGATTAAGAGTTATGGGCTCTGTTCTGTTTTGTCTATTCCTCCTCAAAAAGAGTGTGAATTTGTTAGGCTATCCTTGTGCCTTGAGTCATATTGGGTACCCCACTTTTCCTAATATGCCAAGGAAACATGCAAGTTTGGTGGAGCCCCCAAAACTATTCTTTTGTGATCTGTGAATGCATATTTCTATTATTTGTCCAATCTTTGTCCATTCTCTGTTTCAAGATTTTCTTTTCCCCTGTTCTGTGCCAATCATTAAGTCTAACATTTATATTTATATTATATATACTTGTTGGAACACATTCTATTGTAAGAATTATACTTGGGTTGTTTTCTAATTATACATAGATAAACATTAAATTATTGCATTATGAGCAAATAATAATTTAAAAAATTGTTTTCAAATGGTGATTCGGTTGATTGCATAACAGACAAAATTCCAAATAAATCTAACAGCTTTAATATTTTATATTACCATTAAATTCTGTGTCTCTCCTTTTTAATCCTTGTGTTCATCATATGAACGGTGCTACGTAACAAAATACAGTCGAAAAAATAATTTCTTTCTATAATAAAATAGACTAACATTTAATATGATTTTAGTAGTAATAAAAATTATTGTAAAATCTTTTATCAATATTTTTATATTAATCATTGTATGCAGTGTCATTAAAGTATTTACTAACAATTATTTAACATACTGGTAAAGATCCTTATAATGGTAAAAAAAATGTATAAACTTTTGTGACATTTTTTTATTAATATTTAATAATTTTTGTATTTTCCACCAAAAGTTTAATAAATGATTCATAATACTCTTTAATTACTTTATTTCTAGTTGATGTGAAACTTGTAAAATTAGGACAGTTCTCTACTTATATATGGGACTTAAGTTTTTTCCAATACATCCCCTCAAGTTTAACACTATTGAGCTTGGTAATAGTGAGTAATTTGATACCAATTTAGAATAGTGAGTTATAAGTCCAACTCAACCCTACAAAATAAACTTGTAAGGTGAGAGTCATCATCCACTCATATACTACTTAATTATCTTATCTCTAGTTGATGTGAAACTCAAGTTTTTCCTAATAAATAATTGTCACTAATAATAAATTTTTGTGTGATGTAAATACATTTTTAGTAGCTATTATATATTATATATTAGATAATAAAATAGAGACAATTAATTTATTACTGTTAAATAATTATCAATAATAATAAATTTTGTTGTAATAATTATACCACTTTTTCTTTGACTTTTGGCCTAGATTTTTTATTCTTTTGGTGAATTATTGAAGATTGATAAGTTTAAACGATGATTATAATTAACTACAATTAGTAACCAAGACCCAAAAAGGAGAGAAAACAAAGTAGTGAAAAAAGGAATAGCTCAAGCCTCAAGGGGAGGCAACCATGATAGGAAACATCATAGAACCTTGATGAAATTTGCATCTCACCCATAACTTTCGACCAAAAAGCTCAAAACCTCCACAACTTGAAGCCCCTTCTGCCATTTTTTTCCTTCCCTTTTTTGTTTTTTTTTGTTTTTTGGCTTACCTTTTAATTCCATCTTCTTATTATTTTATCATAATCATTGTTATTTTAGTTTAATTGATTTACAACAAGTGTAGTTTTTGGACCTGCTATGTTTAAGTTAGCCCAATTGGGACTGCGGTTTGGATGGTGTTATCAGAATCGGGCTTGGCTAAGCCCAATGAGCCATTCAGTGTTTCTGAGAATATCGGGCCGTTGTTTAGTCCTCTGGTCCAAATAACTTTTTAACTGAAAATAAATAATGTTCTAACGGGCATAGTTTCCAGATTTCAGAATAAATAAGAGGCTCATGATATATATACTTTTTTTTTAATAAGTACAACTCTTTTATTTTTTTTAAATATAAAATATATGTAGTTTTTTATTTTTTTATTTTTATTTTTTTAATTTTATATCTCCAATTCTTCTTCTTTTTCACACATTTTTTTTTTTTAATTTTCACATGCATCATTTTTTCTTTTTCTAATTTCTCACCTATTTTAGTAGGTAGTTTTAACTCTATCAATTTTTATATTATTTTCTTTTTCTTCCCTCACCTCTTTCACTTTTTCATATGTACGTGATAACATTGTAGGTATGTGCGACTTCCTCGACAATTTTTACTGAACTACAATGAAGACACTTTTTTTTCTTCCAATAGTTCATCTCCTTTTATCCCTTCAAAAACCTTAATATTAAATTTAGTGTTATGAAAAAAAATATTTTCCCTATTTCAGAGTATTGTGCGAGATAGTAAAATTAGTATTTTAGAAAGATTTTCCTATTGTGTTTTTTTTTTTATACATATTTTTGAAAAATACTTTCCAGAATAATATGTAAAAAAATCATAATTAACATTGTCGAGAAAGGCACACACACTTATAATATTGTTGAAAATTAGTTCTATGTTTTGCATGTGTACGAAAACTAAAAACAAGGAGAGGGGAGATAATAATAAGAAAATTGAAAGAGGAGGGAGGAAGAGAGTAATGTAAACCTAAAAAAGTTAAAATTACTTACCAAAATAAGTGAGGTGAAGGAAAGATAAGGGAGTGCAAGTAAAAATTGAAAAAAGGAGAGAAAATGTGTAAAAAAAAAGTACTAAATTAAATATTGTGAGTGTAAAATTAAAAATAAAAAATAAAAAATTCAAGATATTTTAAAAATTTAATTATTATTTTTAAAAGAAGGTGTATTTATAAAAAAATAAAAAAAGAGGTATATATATCATGAACCTAAATAAGATACGAGGATAGGCTCCCCGTTACTGATTTCAGCTAATCTTATTGGGCCTACAATTTCATCATTTGCACTAATGAATCATATGTAATGGACCACATGGAGAAAAGTGGAAGGGCGATAGGCCCATTTGGAAAGGGCTTTCAAAATCTAAGAGGTTTAACAGTAATGCTAGTTGTACCTTAATTGAATTAATAACTAGAATTTTATTTTACTTTTCAAATTTCAATATTTTAATAAATTGTAATGATTTTCTTAATAGCCCCTATTTGAAAATATATTAAAGTTTTCTATTTAAATTTCTGGTTGGATATAGTGCATGCCTGTTTAGTTTGATTAATTTTGAAAAAGTTGTTTTTCTTTAGGTGAAAAGTTTCCTAAAAAAAAAATCTGATTATAAGTTTATATTAACTAATCCAAACACTTTGAAATTTAGGGTTTCTTTGGAAGATTGTATTGCACTTTTGCTCAACTTATAAACTTACAACCAAACAAAGGTAATGTCCATAATGCTAATAGTGTGTTTGGATATGTGTTAATAACTTATTTTTATCAAAATTTCACTTCAAATACACAAAATGATATTATTTGCTTCTACATTACGTGAATCCACCAGTAACAAACAGGTTACCAAACGTGCTTTAAATGGTAGTTTTTAATCACTTCACTGACACACTTACCTCATCTTCTTTTCAGATTCCCCGATTTGTATAAATTGTTATGTTTAATTAGAAGCCTAATCCATCACGGGCAAGAAAAATTAAAAATAATTATATGATTAATTACAGTTTGTTCTATAAATTATTGAAATAATATTGTTCCATGATCCGGTACGTACACAACTACACATCTCAATCCTAACATGGGTTTTGTTTCATTTTTTTTTTTGTACATAATAATAATATGATAATATCAATAACTAATTAAACCTTTAATTTCACTTATTTAAGTTGCTTTGATTGGACAGCGAAGGACAAGAATGATATATAAAAGGACTATATCTTCCTCGCAATCTATCAGTTATTAATTAAATTAAAGAATAAAAAATGAAACCAAATAAAACATACTCCGTTAAAGATGGATTTTATATCTCAAGTGGCTTAATCGATCATCTTTTTAATTAAGTAATTACCTAAAGCAGATATTGTGACACTTTCTTTCACTAGTATCTTAGACATTAATCTATTGAGTTGTTTAGGTTCTAGCAACAATCATTCCTCTATCTCGAATAGAAATTTTAATGGCGAAAACGAATTATAGAATAAAAATAAAAACACTTTTCATTGATAACTTAAACAAGAATAATGTATTAAACAACCCCTGCCGAGTCATGTTTCTAAGTTCTTTCAAGTGTATTTGTTTAAAGACAATTCCTTTTCTCATAGATATCAAACACCAATGTGTCATACCAGCCTTCTTTTATTTATTATAATATATTAGCGTTTATTATAAGTTCCCTAAGCTCCAACAAAGTTCAATTTTATTACTAAGTAAACTTTTAAAATTTGCCACAGAAGTTTCTAAACTATAATTGCATGCACTTCCAAATATGTGGGAACTATATTCTATAGGTTTGCTATTTCCTTTTTTTTTCTTCTTCTAGGCGTATCAGCCTATATTGATAATTTATATATAAATAAATACAAATCTAAATTAAAAAAA